ACTTTATACATATTGTTTGATAGAGCATAACATTTATTTTTACTTCCTAACTCGTTACATTTACTCTTTAATCCAAACAATAACTTTTAATTCAGATAAGAGGTTAATTTATAACCCCCATTTAACGTATAATATGCCCTAGAATTTACCACGTTTAAAAGTAAATTCAAAAGAGAAAGTTCTTTCTTTTCGTGTACAGTAGGCTACAGGTAAGGAGTTAAACAAACTGTTATAATTCTTAATTTAAACTATTTTGTACAATGTTTTTAATAAAAATTTGACCAAAAGTCTTTTACAATTTTGCATGTTTACAACCTTGAAAAGAATTTCAATTAAACATGTACGTATATTTCAAATATACACGATCCTTTTGCAACATATATATTATGTTGTGATCGAAAAGATTTGTATCTTCTTCTCGTTAGCAAATTCTTTGCGGAAAATTCTTAAAAGTGAACAATTTTTTGCCATCTGCGTCACGACAGTTTTCTTAGAAGTAGTACTATAGAAGGGAAAATCGGAGGTAAGAAGCGCAGAGGAAGACCGAGACGACGTTATTTAGATCAGATAAAGGAAAAAAGTTAATGTCGTGTCGTAACACAAACTCAAGCGATTACTTCACCGACATTGTTATTATTATTTTATGACACCAAGTGGCGGGACGAAGAAGTCGTGCGCCTGATGGTAAGCGACACGCCTGTCCATAACAGTTGCAGTGCCACTGTCAGCTTTATATCACAAGGATCTGAGGGGCACTGCAATTGCGCCCGTCATCATGAGGTTAACAAGTTCAACGTGCCTGTAATTTCACCTGAACGCGGTAATGCTCACTTTACTGCTTGGTGGCAGAAATAGGCAAGATGGCAGTACTTCCCTTGACGAAATCTTTCACAACAAACTCTACTGCGACTTAAAATTGTTTAATATTTCTAAAATAGTGCCATCCTATTCACTCTTCCATTAGAGTCAAAAAACCGGCTCAACTATTGGATAACGCATATAGTAATTTAATTAAGATTTACATCCAACTCTACCCCGTTTATGATAAGTACTGTTTATAGTTCAAAGTTTAAAGCTGGGTGCCTTCATGATACTATTACGAATTGTGTTGTTTAACCTACACAATGTTATATTGTTTCCATGTCCCAGTTAGCTGTTTTTAATAGACGAACGAAATAGACGAAGATTAACATGGTGATTTTATTTGGTGGCAATCATTCATGTCAACTCAGTGGCCTTCTGTTCATATTCCCTTTATCGTTTTCGAAAATTATGCCGACAACATTAATTCAACAAATACGAGAAATTGTCCAATAAAAAAATGAAATTGTTAACAATCTGTTAACAATACAGCCACAATAGTATAGAATTTATCCGCGTAGTTGCAGACGCGGGCGGCGCACGCGCAGGTAGAAGTGATGCGCTTGAGGCGATGTCCGATTCTTGTAGGGTTGTCAAAAAGAATAAGCAAGCACGTTCGTTCTTTGATAACAAAAATATTGAAACTCATAATGGATTTCTCGAGATTAACCGTGACAAATGTTGCGCTGTAGTGGAACCGCAATGAAAAAAATTCTTTAGATATCTTTATACTATGTACTCGTATGTACATAGTATAACGCGATATCTAAAGAATTTTTTACATACGACAACATAGTATACGTTTCTTTTTATGGTATACAAACCAGTGAACAAATGGAAGATTTTAGACTCGTGGTTATTCTATTTAATACGGTATGATTTATTTTTAATTTCCTAATATTTCGGAACAGTTACACGATTAATCGTCACGGGTTGACTAGCCAGCGGCAAATGACAGCTTTAAGAACAGACATCTGTCTACCCTCTTTCGCTGTCGACGACGACTTTCATCTCGAATACTTGTGGCGTTACCAATTTTTTTAAACGTTTGGCACTTTATGTTCTCGATGCCTTCTCATACCAAACCTCAGTAGTAGCCTCAGTATTAACCAACTGATCACAAAATGAAGTAGTAGCTGTAGAGCTCCTTGTGAAAAAGATCGTCCAGGGAAGTACTACCACTTTACCTATTTCTACCGCCAAGCAGTAACGAGAGATGAAGTAATTTTCATTTCTATTTCGAATGGTGTACTTACGGGCACATGAGACTTGTCAACTTTAGACTCAGGGTGACGGGCGCAGTGGCAGTTACCCTCAGATCTTCGCTATTTAAAGTTGGAAGTTGTAAACAACTGTCATGGATATGCGCGATGCTTACGACCAGTTGCAGGACTTGTTCGTCCCGTCACTAAATATTATAAAAAATATATTAATATATTTTTTGGTTAAATACTCCACTATTATTGGTACGAAGAAAAGTTCTTTCGATCTGACTGGACTCGGAACTAACCAGTGTCTCACCGACTGAGCTACGGATCAAGTCCGTCGATAAGAGCACTGCGAATGTGTTTTGTTTGTGTTGTTTAATCTTTTTATGAATAATATTAATAAAGTATCTTGAGTAGACAGCTGTGGGCCATAAGATCTTAAGTCTCATGTGTCTTTTTTTATGATAACAAGTGCAGGGACGAACAAGTCATGACTCTGGTGGTAAGCGTCACGCCTATCCATAACAGTTGTAGTACCACTCCACTCATAGCTCTCGCTCGCCACCCTGAGACATAATTTGAAAGTTTACTATTGTTTTTAGTTTTTACATCCCTTTCCATCTTTTTCATAGCCTTTCTACATATAAATTTTTACTTTGATTTACACTTTGATTACCCTAAAACATATTCACTATCATAATTTTCACTTTCAGTAACACTTATATATTCAAATCATAACATGTACTTATATATTAAATGGGTTATTTTAGATGCACCATTCACATTTTATTACATTTGTTATTTCAAAGAACAATTTCCCATTTAGTCCTTCTCTTTGGTTGTGACTGAAAACCAGCGTCTTAGGGAAGTTAGGTATATGCTGAGTCCGCGCCATTTCCATGGTATGACAAAAAATATTTTATTTTTCCTGTTATATTCAATCTAGATATAATTGTGTCATACTAGTAAATAAAGTGTTTTATCTATCTATCTAAGTTGACAAATCCTGTCCTGTGACTAACTACATTTTGAATAAGTTTTCTTTCATACAAATGAACGTATTTTTTTAACAGACTTCAAAAAAGGAGGAGGTTCTCAATTCGACTGTATGTTTTTTTTTGTTTTTTTTTTGTATGTATGCTACTCGATAACTCCGGTATTTGTGAACCGATTTTCATGATTCTTTTTTGTTTGAAAGGGGGTACTTCCATAGTGGTCCCAATTCATTTTGAAGAAAATCATCCACCTCTAAGGGTAGCTGTTCACGTATGAAGATTCATTTTTATAAATAGCGCCTAAATTTTAATAAGGAGCAATTATTTTAATGGTAGATATTGCAATTTCTCCAATTCAAGGCGTTTTTCTCTCCATATACTTTGAGTAGTGAGAACCGGTTTTTATTATCTCCAGTGTCAAGTCCTGTATAGTGGCGAATTTAAGGATATTTCAATAAAACTTAGCAAATAGACGTAATTCCACGTACTTTTGAGGTCGGTTTTTTTAGTACTCTGTACTGAGATTATTTGCAATAAAATGTCTGATGTCGCCAACCCTGCATCAGTTCGTAAAAGGCGTTGCTTTCTCCGTCCGAGATGGCTTCAACCGACCCACTCGCGCTCGTCGCATTCGTTCGGATTCGCGTTACGCATACGCGAGATCGCATTTGAAGCTTAGAGAAATTTCGTGCGAATCTTATTCATCATTCTAACCTTGAATTCACTACGGTGGGAATTTTACTAAGATAAATTTGAAAGTTTGTTTGTTGATTAATTATTCAACAACTGGATAGGTTTGGTTTAAAGTTTGTACATTTATAAAATCATTGATTGTAAGGTTTCTTATAATATATTTTTTAATTAGACTGTCTTATTTAACCCTTAACCCACACACGGTGTCCCTAACAATTTTGGTAATGTCCTTTTCATTTTGTCTCTATATTAATATAATAAATAATATAAGAAAATGTATCTTTTAGGCCTTGGGAAAGGCGAGAGTCTAAAATAGATATCCAAAATAATAACAATACTTTATTTCGTACAAAAACAATTATTACAAACTTTATTAAAAATTAAAACAATTATAACACAGTTGTTAGTAAAGAATTTAGGAATAAGGTTAGTATGATGCAATTCCAGTAGTCAAATTAAAATAATAAAAAAATACATACACACATACATACAAAATACATACATTTTCTATTTCTATTCAAACTTAAAATAAATTAAAATTATAAAATTAAAATTCAAAAACTATAACATCATCATAAATTTTTATTATTTTTTTATCATCGTCATCATTTCAGTCTGGTTGCAGCTCGGCTGAGCATAGGCCTCCTCTCTATCGCTCCATTATTTTTTTATAAATTCTTTAAATAAAGAAAAATATATATAGGGTAAAATAAAAACACAGCTGCACGTTAGAGACTCCGCGTGGCTCTAGGCCGCGTGTAATCTCAAAAAAAATATTTAATTTGATATGACATGTTCAAAAACAATCCCGTCACTAAACAAAAACGTTTCTTTTCAAATTGAAAACTATTTTCATAAACTTTCATTTCGTGACATTCATTTAGTGATAGTATTGATTAGAACATGCGATATTATTACCCGATACCGCAACAAATAGAGTACACATATTTACCTTAACTTTGAAAAGTAATACGCACAGAGTGGATAATATCGCCCTCTCAAATAAAAAATCTAATTTTTAAAACTACAAACCTAAGGTCGCCTGTTCTAAATTAATTCATTCTGTATTACTTACATTATTGCTCTGTATTATCAATTGCAATTTTTTAATGGTACAGGAAAGAATATTTCGTTCGTTCATTCAAGTGCCAAGTGTCAATTGTTTTTGATTTTTTTTTATTTCGATCTAAACCAATTTATTCAACTTTCAAAGTATACTAATTATTTATATCTTTATTTACAGATTTCTGCTATCACTTTGGGGATTCTAACACGTAAGTGCAAACACGAAATTATGTACAGTCAACATGCTTGATGTGCAAGCAATACACTTGTTCGAATATTACATTCGGAGCAGCGGTAGAAATGTAAAAATTACTATTTGGCATTTAAGTTTCTTTACCTTTTACATAGAGATATTATGTCACAATTTCGCCTCGAGAATATTCAATTAAATTTACTTTATTTGTACGTTTTATTGATGTTATAAAGTTTGATAATAGAATGTTCGTGCTTTTGAATTTGTGTTGTAAGAGATTTTGTTTATCTTCTCTGAACATTCACGTTTCTCTACAATTATCGATTACACGCATGGGAATGTCATGTCTAAATTGATTTAATCAATACATTAGCAAATCAATTCATTAAATTACAATCGACATTGCATTTAGTTTTAACAAAAATAATGTGTATTAAAAAAGCCGACCTAAAAAAATCGTGTAATTACATCTATTTGCCAAGTTTTATTGAAATCGGTTACTGGAAAGTGCGCGAAACCGGATTCATCCCTTGCCGCCCTTAGAGGTGGAATATTTTCCTTAAATGGGACCATTACTTAAGTGACACACAATGCTAGGGGCTATTATTGCCAATGACAATATTAACATTTGTAACTTAAAAAAAAACTGATCTCAAAAGTTTGTGGAATTATATCTATTGTGCCAAGTTTTATTGACGGTTAACGGAAAATGGGAGTAATTTAATAAACCGAATTCATCCCCTAGTTTGCCACCCTTACAGGTGTAAGACAGGTGTGACCTTACAGGTCTTCAAATTTAAATAAGGCCACTACTGAGGTACCCTCTTTCCAACAAAAAAAAATCACCAAAATCAGTTCACAAGTGACAAAATATTTATATACTCGAATTGAGAATCTCCTCCTTTTTTGATGTCAGTTAAATAGGAAAACAATTACATATAATTTGGAAATTAAGCTGTTTTTCTGACATAAAATCACGTAAATTTTGTTTTATTTTTATTTCAAACAATGTTTCAGGCTGTTTACAAGTTCTGTAGTCACAGCTAAGACGGTTTTAGTCATCATCCAGTCATGTCTAATAATATTAATCATGGAAAGGACCGCTAATCTCCATACTGTAGATCGTAACTCTGAAAAAGGTCAAAATTCCGTCTTGTATCTAGATCGCGCTGATCAACGGCCTGGAAGTAGTTTATATTATGTAAATGGCCGTGGATATCAATTACTCCCTCTTTAAGATTAAATATAAGTAGTCAGTATTTTTTAGCCGACTTGAAAAAAAGTAGGAGGTTATACGTTCGGCTGCATGCATGTTTTCAGATATCTTCGTCAATTGTGGACCGACTTTGAAAATTCTTCTTTTGTTTGAAAGGGTATACACCCGAGGTGGTCCCTGATACTGTTGTGGGTTCGTTTCGGCTATCACTAATTACTAATTATTTTCCGGAAATAAAAGTCGACTTTTTACTTGACACAATACGTTAAATCAACAAATCACCATGACATCCAGAAAAGAAAATATAAAATGTACAAAGGACTCCGTAACAGTCCCATTGACACCAGGAAGTCAGATTTTCTTTTTCAATTAAAAAGTTACAAATATTTATTATTTATTTATTTATTTCCCAACTTAATTTACTATTACAGGTTATCCACCCAATCCAATAGTCCAGCAAAATTACTACATGTAACACATGATATAAAGCGCTATCTTTGTGAATTCACTCAGAGAACATTGGAACAGATCGATTCCATTCGATATTTCGTTCAGGGTGTGCAGGGTGCGCGTTAGCGGAGATTCCGTCATGAAATTTGTCCTTCCACGCGACACTGCCAGTAGCAGTGGACGGCGACGTCGCTTGACGTATCTATCAGGAACACATAAGCCTAATACCCTTAGTAGCATCGGATTCAATAGCACACCTCTGATAACCTTCAACACGTACACTGCTAACGCTAAGTTCCTGCGCACGTGTAGCTCGTTGTATCTCACCATACTCAAAATGAACAAATTAGGATACATCAAGGGGTAGAAGGGGTAAACCCCGCCTTCAGTATAGATATCTCAGGAATTTGTTTTGAATGCGCTCCAGCATAAGACTATATCGCGTTTGATGTGGAGCCCATACTACCGCATATTCTATGTTATATTCAAATATTGACCATGAGGTAACATTATTTTCTGAACTTTAACACATATGTGTGTCAACAGATGGCACTGTGTGTTAAAAAATAATTTATAAATGTACCTTTGCTAGTATGGATAGACGGCGCTAATCCTAAACAATATAAAGAATTGCCGGTTATGGATACTATAAAAAACTGTGCAATAAGCGCAATCTAGTTGATTTATTTGTCATCACTAGAAATCAGAGTAGCTTTGATAAATTGTAGTTCGTCAATGTAAAACAAATTAGTTACGAAAATAGCACTTTGACATCTATTGCGACATCTGGTATGTACCAATAGATACTAAATACCCGAGTACATTGTCTTGTACCGATTACCAGTTTAATCTCTCTGCATAATGTTCCCTTTTTGTTTATAAATAAGGAAAAAAATCCGAAAATTTTAACGTTTCCTTAATGGTACGCAAATTTCAACTTTTCGTTATCCTGACAAAAAAAAATTTGCACAGAAATAAACTTTTTCCCCTTTTTATATTGGAATCAATTAAAAAATTGTATTATTGATAACCCAGAAATAAAAATCATGTTACATGGTGTAATTGGTCGACTATCTACCACATATTTTGTATGAAATAAAGTGACGGGACGAACAAATCGTGCGCCTGGTGGTGCGTGTCTGTTCATGACATAAGTTGACAAGTCCCATGTGCTTGTAATTTCACCAGCATCCTTAACCTTCAAAACCGGAACGCAGTAATGCTAACATTATTGCTTTGCGGCAGAAATTGCTAAGGTGACGTTACTTCCCTGGACGAACACTCACAAGAAGCTCTACTGCTACTAAATATATTATATAGCAATCATTAATCATCTCCAATCGTAAACTCAAATCGATAATTCATAAAGTTCCAAATACCATTCAAATATTTACGATCATCGCAGTATGAGGTTGAAGTTATTATAAATAATTACCACGTCAGCTAGTTATCTTCTTCGTATACATGAGTTAATTGTGTTGAAATCAATACCAAATTATCTCTACGGACGATAAACACGTATGTTTTTATTTCTAGAGATTCTAAGGTATTCTAAGGTACCTATCTATCAACGTGTGATAATCTGAATTGATCGATTTCTTAAGAAGATTTGAAATGAAAGTGATTAGAAGTAATATATAGAAAAAAATAAATAACAATAATGAAGTAATAATAAATAAAATTAAGTCAGATCAAAAAACCACTTACAAAGTCACAAAATATAGGTATATTTTTTATCGAGGGACTAAAACGAGCTAATATATATCCGATGTGCTTAGCTGCCCGAGATTTAGCTTGCGAGGGTTGGGTGTCTGTTATTCCGAAGGTTTATATTGGCTTTTAGTCTTGAGGTGAAAATGCGGGAAAAAAAATTATTCACACCCAAGACACCCGTCAATTGTTTCGAATTAGGGCTGGCCAATCGGAGCGCAGTTGTCACAGTAATGATTTCACAGAATGGTTTTTAAACAAATTAAATGACATTATTAATATAAATTAAATTAAATGTCTCTATTTCTGTTTATACTCGATGGCAACACACCTACTCATCACTATTGTAAGATGTTTAGACATATGTTTGATCTTTAACTCTGATTGACATGCGTCAAGAAGATATAGAGATTCTGTAACGCTCATAATTTATTAAGTAATACCAGTTTGGTAACTGCGGTGGTAGTTGCATAAACTTCTTTATCTGTTAGAGATACGCACACGTTTATCCACGATCTCGACTTGTTCATCCCTTTAATTAGTTGTTATAAAAAAAAACTCGGAAGATCGATGATCTTATTAACCTCGTAAAACCTAGCAAATTACAATGGGAAAAGCATTAAACGCACAATGTACATTAAAATCTCTTAAATATAATTATGTGCTTCAGGTTCGAGTAAATATGCTCTCAATTTTATATGAAAAGACTTATTTTTCTATTATATACTATGGTTATACAGAAATTTGAATCCGACATTTTTTATTATAATAGGTACACTGGGCGTTTACGTGATCATAGTAATAATGTTTTCTGGGTCTTAATCACTTCACACCGTTTTTTTATGATACCAATTGGCGGGACGAACAAGTAATGCGCCTGGTGGTATGCGACACACCTGTCCATAGTAATTAAAGTGTTTAAATTGCAAAACGCCTGTAATTTCACCAGCACCCTTTCTCTTCAAAAGCTGTACGCAGTAATGCTCATATTACAGATTGGCAGCAGAAATCGGTATGGTAGCAGGCAGTACTTCCCTAAACGAATTCTTTCACAAGGAGCTCTACTGCTGCTATATGTACACGGCCTTAGGAGGTTTAAAGTATAAAATATCCAAGTTTAATTAAAATTACATTTGGTAAAGAGATCGACTCCATACATGTTTGTATGAAGAGCGTGGAAGCAAAATGCTTCAGGCAAAGTTTTGGAATATTTATGTGTTCAATACATTCTTAGTATAAAAGTTATCACCCAATAAAATTTTTATTTAAATTGTTCTACAAATATAGTTCATCACTAATTACTGTTAATTTTATGTAGGTATCTTCATATTAATATAACATAATAACCTCGTTTACAAAGGGCCCACCTTGATGATTCATAGATAGAGAGGAAGTCTGAAGACGAATGATCGGGGTTCATTATCAAGCTTATGTAGTATATAGTCGAGGATAGTTCAAATTCGCGTATGAAGTAATTGTTAAAAAGCGCGTATCTTCACCAAACCAAATTTCACGGGAGAGGAATGTTTTCGTTATTACTTTGTTATTTCAATGGCTATGACTTCCATTTTTGCACAGTAAGCATTAATTTATGTTGTCTACGAACTGATAAAAATAGATTCCCGTAAATCACGCTAATT